CCCTTTTTCTTTTTGTATTTGCTAGTTTGTTTTATACACGTTTCGGAGCTGTGCTATCGAACGTAAATAGCAAAAACAACAAAGCTGTTTTTAACAACGTATTTTCGCTTTCATCATGCAATGGTGTCGATATAACAGAATTTCTATTTTAGAACATCTGAATTTATTTTGTAGTAGTGAAAATGTGGTTATTTACCATTCCAATTATTTTGCTCGTACAGGGTAAGACATTTATTTATAATCGCTGTTCTATTTCTTGAGGTGTGACCAAAATGGCGTCTTTTTTATGCTCCATTTCTCCATTTCCTTCCTAAAAGAAAAAAACAAGGTACAATTTTGCATGTAAAAAAAACAAACAAGATTTATCATGTAGACGTGACTGTCCTTTTCTTTGCCAAATAATACATATTTCCATAAACAAACAAAATGATTATCAATATTTTGTACAATTAAATCACAGACATTTTGCCAAAATAGTTTTACAAAAGTGCAATGCCAAAATAAATGCACTACTGTTTCAGGGCAACTGACACAAAAGGAGCAACTAAAATCAATATCACATTTAAATTTTACCAAATAATATTTGGCTGGGTAAATCCCGTGTATAATTTTGAATGATACTTCCTTAACCTTGTTTGTAATTAAATATTGATTAGGTATTAACCAAGCCTTTTTCCAAACAATATTGTCTGTCAGTCGATTCCAATACGAATAAACATAAGGCAACGACACAATGTCTCGTTGAAATAAAGCTGTTATTGAACTGTTGTGTGATTTAAGAGAAAAACAAATGTCACCTATATAAGAACTTATTACATTAGGCAGAGACCACTGTTGGATGTTAATTCTTGTCTGATGTCTAAATAGCTATACTGTACAAACCTCTTGGGAAATAACCCCAAAAACTTTGGCATAGTCCCCTGTTGTTACAGCATACTTATAATGTGCCAAAAAAAACTCACCATAAGTAAAAAGAAAACCATTTAAATTAAATAACTGATCCACCAATATGATGCCATTATCAAACCAGTATTTATATAATATATCCTTATTGTATATATCTCTTATATGTAGTACCTATGAGGTGAAAAATTGTTCTTGTGGACCTGAGACCATGATAAAAAGGCCTGACAGTGGAATTCAGCTAGTTTCACTGGTATTTTATCAATATTATAATTACAGCTAAAAAAAACAAAAATTGGTACCACCAAATTTTGATAGAATATGGGAGGGAATAAAACACCAAATGGAATTAAGATTTTTAACAATTTGTTTAAGCCAATTAACTTTACATGTATTATTTAATGTTGCAAAAATCCAAAATATTTAAGCCACCATTGTCATGTGAATTCATAATAACTGTCTATTTAATATAATGTATTTTATTTTTCCAAATGAAGTTAATCAATATTTTGTCTATATATATATATATATATATATATATATATATATATATATATATATATATATATATTATTTTTTTTATTATTTT